GCGCCCTGACAGACTACCATTCTCATGCGTGGTCTATTCATATGGGCTTCCAGCGCGTGAAGGGATTTCACAGCCGCTTTATCTCAAGGCTGAATGATCCTAACCCTATGGATACTGGAAAAGTCCTTCCATATGAGACGAGAATGAGAGAACATGGCTCGCCCGGGAGAGGCACGTGCTTTGTCGAAGATGACAGTACGGCGCCCCGAGTATGCTTTCATATGCAACTCGACAGTGGGGCCACTCATCCTTCTCTGCACAAGACCGATATGGCCTATCTGGCTATTGACCGCAAGACGTACCCAGCGCAAACTCACACTACGGTCGCAACTGCAAATTCAAACACAGTTGCGGCGTTGTATGAAATACGCGTTGACATCTGCCGACACAATGGGGAGTCACTTGTGGGTGAAGAGCCAGTCTTCCCGAATGCTCGTCGACAAATTGGTGGGATCGTACCAGTCATGGTATTAGTTGAGTCAACAGAAGACCAAAGCGAACCATTGGCCGAATGGTATAAAGAGGCTTTGAAGAATGGCGAGGATGTCTCTGAGGAAGCGATGGCCGCACGTTATAAGGGCCAAGATGAATCCCGCCTGTCTGGAATGCTTCCGTTTCAAGTGTGCTACTTCTCTGGAGCTCCTGGAGCACCAACCTTCTGGTTCGGAGAAGACCGGCGCGATGTACTCGGAGCAGATCGCATGCCAGGTCATCAACGATGGGAACGACATAAGAAAGCCTATATCGTAGAGCACCCGGCCGAGTTCAAGGATTTGGATCGCCCAACGGTTATATTCGAACACCAGGGCAACAGCATAAGACTTGTTGACATGGACTCTAAGGAAGACAAGGGCACAAGCATATTGAGCATTGAAAGACAAGTGACCTTGAAAGCAGGGGAAATACCGCAGAAGAGAACCCTGCCAGGCAAGAGTAGCTCAATAAAGTCAGGATCAACGAAGAGGAGAAAGAGACAGTAATCATAAACTAGGTAGATGAGCTGCACTATTGTTTTGCGAAGACAAGGAGGTTGTGTTTGAGAATTGGCGAGAACTGATACGGGCTTTCAGCTATAGCCACATTGCGCTGAATTTTTTTCATGAATGAGATTTATGATGGTGAGAATGAGCATTTCTCGAGTCCATGTGAAAAATGATAGATCGAAGTTGTAACAGCGAAGATGGAGCTCGAGATATACCTAGATAGGGTCTCCAGCCACAAGTGGCTCCTTCCTGCCGATCTTGATCTACGACGGCGGGGATAAACTGGGCTTATTCCCGCCCGCCACGATCTTGATAGAAAGTCAATGCTTGGCAGGAATGAAGCATTTGTCCATTGACTGATTCAATAAATATCAACATTCAGAGAAACTCATGTCGTATTAGGTAGAGAATGTTACATATATCTCGGTACAATCTCTTGTAAGACGTCAATAGCGAAAACGAGACTCGGTTACACGCAGGTAATATTCATCCATGAAAAGAATGGAACTAACGATCACATGGATCCGATGGCCCAATCCAATGACAGCATCTTCATACTGTACCTTTCTACTAAGCAGGTGCTGCAGCAACGACCGTGCAGCTTAAGAGCATTAAGAGTTGGTCAACGAGCTAATTAAGAATAACTCTATTAAGCCAAGACATTACCTATATCGATGTCTTATACAGTAACTCGATCAATGTCGAATATCCAGTACCTATTCATATACGAATATCATTCATTTCGCTCTCATCATCGCCTCCACATATTGTCTGGGCAGTCAGCCTTAAGTCTTCAAGACCGCCTTACCGCGTGAGATGGATGGATTTCATCAAATGTTCTGATTTGGCAAAGGCGCTTTTGAATGCTGACAGGACCCTGAACCTGGTAAATTGATTACACGTCGAAAAGGGAAGAGTAAAAGCAGCCGCCTAGCATTACGGATTAGGGCCTTTCACAGACGGGCTGGGGTTTTATTGTTTCTCTTGTTTCTGCGAAGGCTACTATGAGGGTTGCATCTTTCAGCTTCAGCTCCGATTTCCTTCCCTTTACCTGCATAAACTCCACTCTGCACTCCACGTTTAGGCTGAGCCTCCAGTGTCTTCCATCCCATGCCATTCCCATCCGACCCGTATCCTAACCTATCCATTTCTCTTTGGATCAGATTCTTCTTCCATTCTTTAGCTGCAAGCACTTCTGCTTATTGACCTGCTTCTTCCGGCTTCTGGTCCGATTCGAAGCTTGAACAACCCCTCTTCGGACATCATCCTGGCTGGTGATGCTCTCGTCATTTTCAACAACATAGCGCGTCTTCCGATAATCTTCAACTCACAGCGCTTCGAATTATTGACCAGAGCGCTGCTGGTTGCCCCCACCTAGACCTTGGCAACATTGACGCATTCCTCCTAGACACCCGCACTCTGGGAATAGTACAACACCTCCAGTAGCTGGAGAGTAAAACGATATCCTTGCTTTAGTGGGAGCTGAAGGTTGTAGCCTAGGACCCAACACGAGCACCCGCCGTCTTTCGCACGCAGCTACTGGTCTCGTCGCCAGGGCTCCATAAGCTTTCCCCTCCACCAACCTACAATCGACGCTTAGCAACTCTTGGATTCATGAACACCACTACATCACCAATTTCTCAGCATTTACGCTCAATTCTGGCATCGCAACTCTCTACACGTCCTGGCTCTGGCGTAGCCCGACGCTTTCGTCGCCATCGGGGCTCAGCCAGCCGCCCCCTCCGTTCCCGATTCCGCTTCGTCGCCGTCATCTCCCCCCACTCGACACCGCCGCTCTAGGTACCGTTCCTCACTACGATACTCGGCTCACAGGGCCTCACAAACCTTAAGCCTGACGCTGCATCAACAAAACCACGATCATGTCGGGCCCTGCGAGCGTGAGGGTCTCGGGCCCTCCAAACAGTAGCTTTCTCGTGGGCTATCCTGGTATCTCTGCGACTCTGGTACGTCAATTTCAGATTCAGCTTGTCTTTGCTTACGCCCTCATCCTTACCTCACCAGTTCAAGTGCGCCGGGCCTCGTTATGCTGACATTGGTGGTTTCTGTAGCCGCGCATCGAAGGAAAAGTCGAAATTCGCCCTGGACAGGGTTTTTCCATGCCCGTACCCGTCTCCCTCGTTCGAATATGTCTTCAGCGCCGAGAAACAATACACCCCGATGCCGATAGCATTGCGAAACGACATCTAGGCGCTCCCCGCCGCGAGACCACGGATCTAGTCGGAAAAGAGCAGCTCCTCTTTCGCTGCTCATCTGGAAAGGAGGCCGAGAGGATCATTGCTATGGATCTACCGTTCGTTCTGTTTATTCCTTTTGGTCGCGGCGGCGAAGAGTCGAATCGTCGTATACCTCCAGCGTCCCTCCAACTACCCAGCCGAACCGCCGAAACATACTACGAGCTCGTCGTTACTGTTCAGCAAGGCCACAGCAACCAGTACAAGTACACTTTTCCAATACCTCTACAACGCTACGATACACTTTCTACCTTCGGAATGTATAACAAGCCCGAATCCAAATTGGTCACCAACGATAATATCGTACACCTCGGCATCAATCTACCACGGTGGAGCTACGGCCCCAGTGATCCCATCACAGTATATATCAAACTGTCGCCAAACCTCGATTGGTTAAGTAAAGCGAAACGCGTCACAATTGAAAAGATTACATTGACTGTTGAGGAGGAAATCACATTCAACCCAGAAGGTGATGAACCTACGAAAAAGATAAACAGGATCTCGAAACAGGTGCAACCGGTTAAGACAAAGATGCCAGAGGCGGGTTACGCCACAAACGTCGGGCTGACATTTCCATCCAAGGATCTGAGGGATCCAGAAGGCGTTGTCAGGCGGGGGAAGCCTCAATTTCCTCTTTACGAAGTCACATCATTTACCACGACTTCTACCCTTTACAAAATCGAGTTCTACTTGGTTATTAAGGTATGCTCTCTTCGGGTTTCTATGCCTCGTCTGCGCTAACAGTCCAAGGTCAATCTTAGTGGTGCCCGAGATGTAATGATACGACAGCCGATTGTCATCTGCCCCTTAGATCAACAGGCCTGTAAGGAAGAGATGGACGCTATAGAACAGGCGGCCAAAGACGCCTCTCACGTCGATCCGAACAACCCGATGCTTCCAGCGCCGACTGTTATTCTCGCCAACGACCGCGATTCATTACGAGCATTGGGTCTATGTATGGTTGGAGGCCAGAAGAAGCCATTCATTGAATGATGAACTAGGAGGTCCAGGGATGGTTTTTAAGAACCTTTTTGCCATGCGCCACGCTCACCCGAAGATGGCAGGGCGCCGTTGCGCCAATGAGCCGCAACTGAAGCCGCGTGGGGAGTATATCTCCCATGCCAGATCTAGCGTAACGGCACAACGGTAGAGAAATAGGTCGCACGACGGCATAAGAAAGGACATGGCGAGAACGGAACTAAGCTATCGAGGTTTCCCTCCAGTTGAAGTATACCCAGGGGTGTTTGCATTTTGGGGAAACCGGCGAAGAGGAGATAGGGCTCTTGTAATAACGGGCATAGTTCATGGCGTTCCGGGGGGGCTTCAGGGAAAAGAATGAGCACAGGCAGTGGGCAAGTGCACGATGTAAATGTTCCACATGTTGTAGTGATATGAATGAAATATATTGAATCTTATGAAGCCATGAGTTTTACAGATTGGTCTAATGAGTCATTTTCCGAGGGCGTATGAGTAGAGTTGATCCATACTCAGAGCATGAGGAGCTGAACTCGACATAAAGGAGATTGCACCAAGGAAAACACCTTCGAAAGACAATGGGAAACAATGGAAGGTTACTGTACTTGAGAAAAACAACGGAAGGATTGTGTGAGAATTACAGAGAGGATTGCATAAACCTCAAGCATGATCCTACAGCGACAGCACAAATTATCCAGATCATCGGTTGTCGCCAATAACAATAACAAACAAATCAAGCAAGACAAACGTCTAAGCGACGACAGAAACTGCAAAAATTGAATCGCTATTTTGCTAACTGGAGGGTTCGAACCTCCGCGGTTTCCCACTGCGGGTTTGGTTTCTGATGAGAACCTAAACACAGCGCCTTAACCACTCGGCCAAGTTAGCGATGATGATTCGTTGGTTGTTAGAAGTGGCTGCGCTGTCAAGGTATATACTACCGCAGCTTTGGTGGGGGCAGAAAATATCAATATCGGAGCTCATGGCTTTGCATAAAATTATCTTTCAACATCAGTTCACGCCAATCGACCGAAGATTATTCTCGACGTCTCCGAAGCCCTTTCCGACAGTATCTCAAGCGATTTTAATATCATCTGAAGCTTAAGAAAACTCTTTCGCCATATAATCGCCATGGCTTTTGACGATGACGATAATCCCAGTACCTTAGCACTACCAGCCAAAGGCACCAATGGTGCTGCTACAGAAGATGTCGACGATGACGCGCCGGATGTGAATCTCTTCCTATCCATGTTCGACAAGCATGGTGTATCAAGCAAAGCTATTCGCAAGGGCGAGAAGGATTTCGAGTCACATGGCACCCGTGCACAGGATGGTCTTCTCGAAGCGAGTCGCACTGTCTTGGATAATGTCTTAGGCTACACAAGGATACATCGCGAAGATTCCTGGGTTCGAGGATGGTGTTTCCCCGACTGGTGGGCCAAGGTAGAGGAAGCTGGTGAGAAGGAGGGCTTATGGCTACGTGACAGAGTTGTCATGGTTGAGCATGAGCGCGGAACATGGCAGAAAGATATCGGAAGGGCGGTACCTGCACACAAGGAGCGCTTGGGTACGGGGAAAGTCTGGCTTTTGCCTGAGGAGGCTATTTTTCTCATCGAGAGAGGGACCATGGATCTCTGGTGGCCAAATCGACAACTGGAGGACATCCTACCCCACGCTGATGGAAAACCGAAGACGGATATGGGCCCTGACGACTATGATGCCGGACTGCCATTGAGTCTTGAGGCGGCATACTCACTTTTTATCGGAAACGAGGGTGAGAGGGGCAAAATCACATTACCACAATACCAGGTTTACTCGCATCTGAAGCGAGCAGGTTTCTACGTTCTACGCGCGCCACCCTATGAGACGCCAACACCAACACCCCAGTCCAAGACTCTATGGCAATGGCTATTCTCATTCTTCAGCTCAGAATCACAACCAAAGCGAAACTCATCTGGACCTCTTGTTCAGCCAGGTCTTTACCGCGCTTATAGACCTATCTACGACCAACTTGCCATTCTTCCCCGCCACAAGCCACTACCTACACCTCCCGTGGTTCATCCTCCCCAAGATCCTTGGCGGGTTTTCTTTCACGTATGGAAATCAGGTGGCGCGCCATTCTCGAAAAAGAACCCACCACCACCTGATTTCCGCTTTGCGGTGGTTGACGCAAGTGATACATGCGTACCAACGCTCGAACAAATCGAAGCTCTTCTGGAATCTACACCTTACGACCCGCCCAATGAGGCTTGGAAGGGCCCTGGAGGACGGATGTATCAGCGACTAAAGCACGGACACCGCAACGTGCTGGTAGCGATTGTGGATCGCGGCCTCGTCAACTTTATGAGATTTGGCGAGGGAGCATTTGGAGAGGAGAGATTGTTCGAGAGATTTGATAATCAGGGCGGCCAGAGAGGTGGACCAAAGACAGGTCGTGGTGGAGGCAGAGGACGCGGTCGGGGTAGAGGCCGTGGTCGAGGACGGGGGAGGTGATGTCAGCTACAATGAAGAAATGAATGCAACGACATCGAATGAATTGACGTCAAAATCTGATCGTACTATGTTTGCAACGGATCATGCAGATGAGCTGACGTGTGTCAGGTTTCCTCATGGTGCTATAGTAAGAGTGATCTCGTTAGTTGACATGCTATACTGACTAACTAAGTTACCTATCGCAATCAACTACTCATAATCATCGTGAAAACTCGTATTTACTGCACTCAACTTATTATCGGGTTTGCAATGTCGGAACTTGGGCTCTGAGCTGGGAAACTTTGGCAGCTTCTTCCAGCTCTGAGTGTCACATGCGGACCTAACTACATAATTACCACCAGGAGTTTTGATGAGTGAAAACATTTGCAGCCCTGATAATTTACCCACAACTGTATTTCAACATGAGATATGAGTCAGGTTTTACATTAAACAGGCAACCCTCGGCTAAGAATATCGACTGGTTCACTTGTCTTCAAGTTCAACCAGTCGCAATTATGTGCTACCCGGGAGGCGTTTCACAGACATGACAATTGCAGCACAATTACACTCGGTTACCGTCGAATCTCCGGAACACAAAATCCTTGCCTTGAACGAGAACGACAATGGCGTTGTTCCAGAGACCGAATGTGCAGTTGTGACAGACGAATCACATTGTGATCACAGCGAGACACTATTTGAAGAAGTTGACAACTCAATTTGGCAGAAGTCGACCAACAAAAATGAGGGAATTAATGACAACACGGCATAAAAGACTCTGAAACTCAGACAGGCATATTATGATGATAGACAATGCAGAGAAGCATAATTGGCGCGACGCTGTGACTTGTCTTAACCACACACAGTAAAAGAGTTGGTGATTTGCGAGACGTGCATAATTGGCAGAGAGGCACGGTAACTCATGATAACCAACCAGAACGACCTAGCAGTGGGTATTATCGGCTCCTATTCAATTGAGAAAGAGCTTAGGGAACGAGAGAAAACTTGGACTTTCACAATTCTCAGTGACATAAAAACCGAGATAAGTTTAGGATAACTTAAAGTGAACTTAGTAGGCTCTTTGACTAGTCTATTTTCGTCCCCTGATGTGAAGGTCTCAAAGACTTCTGACACCCCGAGGAGAGGAGAGCCCAAGTTTTCTGAATAATAAAATTTACAGGGGTTGTTGAATTGTCGGGACTTAGTGGGTGAGATGGGCCGATCGTGAAGACCCGGTTACATTACGAGATTGGGAACTTTGACGTTGAATCTGATGACAAGCGAGTCATGTAATATGAGCTGAAGTTTCACAAGTCTTTTGAGGAAAAATATGTAGATGACCAGAGTCTTTTCGCACTTGGCGTCATTGTTGTAAACATGTCCTTAAGAACTCATTCTTTCGTAAGCACTTGTACTAGATATCTTGCTTGACTGTCTCGGCGACCTCCAGATGGAGCGACGCTGACGAGAACTCGGTCATCAACTCGTGTAAGCAAAGAAGAGGCAGGATTCGAGAAGACTGGACGCGGGCGCTATACCGGCATGGTGCTATTTATCCGTCCTTAGCCCTGCCACTATGTGCGTTACTGTACAATTCCGTACAACCGCCGGTTGTTGAGATGAGCTGAGTTGAGCTAATGTCCGTTGTTGTTTCGAGGGTTGATACCCTTTTTCGTTTTCAACCTCGGCAGTTTCACGGTGTAATTGAGTTGTCGGCGAAGTCAACTCAATGGTTATGAGTCTAAAGGGACGTCTGAACGTAGCAGTAGATCGAGGACATCAACTATTCATGTGAGATTACCCAAGAGATAAAATTGGCTGATGACTCTCACAGGAAGCTGAACTGCAAATAGAAGACGAACGATGCCCAAATTGAAAGGCGTGTCTTAGCGTTTTGATAGGGCGTGCGTATAAGCGCGGGAACCATGAAGTTGCGAGATTACAGATTTTCCCGCAAAAAGTCGCGCTGTTCTCTATTGGCTACCGTCCAGAACTGGAACACAATGCTGTTACATGATTGGCTAAAAGGAGCTAAATATGTCATCATAATCATAACGTACTGGCACTATTCAATCAGCACATGCCTCAACTTTTCACCCTCCGGCATATGCAACATGAGGATATTGACTTTTTGGAGTGCTACCACAAGTCAAGGTTTCAAATTAACAACGTGAAAGTGCCGAATTGAGCTAATTTTGTTGGCGATGAGGAGAAGGGAAGAACGGGAGAGTTGTCGGGACTTGTGATGTGATGTGGAAGGGTTTATTGGCTTGAGCTTGTGACTATTGATGGAAATCGTGGCATCATTGTTGCTATCAAGCCAGGCTTGTCGTGGCGCTGCGCTGCTGCTAGGGGCGGTATTGCGCTGGCTGGCTGAGTCGATCAGTCACAGAGGGTGAATCATTACCTGCGATTAGTGGTAGGAGAACGAGTTGTTGTATCACTCTGTAACCGGACAGTGCTCGCTGCCAATTTGGAATCTCGTATCCTTGGCATTTCGCCTACACGTCTATTCACGGGGCCTTGGTGTTGAGAGGGAGCGGTGTCAGCGTATGCGTCAGTAGTTGTCAACTAGCACGGGTAGAATGATGCACAACCCGATAGGTGCCAACGAGGGGAATTGAAAAGACACATTGGAAATGATGTGACATGACAAAGTTCAATAAAAATACAAGGGCCATTGTTGATTAGAGTTGCTGTATCGGCACATCGAGTCGCATCGAGTACAGAACTTTACAACACCTTATCTAAGAGGCTGTGAACCTATGGGGGTGATTAAGGATATTCATAGGCGTGTATGTAGTATCCATTGCATGAGTTGGTCTAGAGCGCCCACCTATGAGATGTTTCATGAGTGAACCACAAGAAAGGGGATTCATCATCAGAGAAAGAGGTTGGAAAAACCAAAACAGAAACGATGAGTGAGGTTTAAAGTTAAATATGGTTGAAAGGGAGATGAAGGGTGGAGGAACTGATGGATTATATGGAACTCTCTCTATGGTCAACTGCACAACTACCTTTCTGGTCATTTAAGTATGTGCAGAGCTGACCTCGAGTTACCTGATATACGCAATGGGCCTTCACGTTCCCATCTTGATTCGTTGTTGCTGCTCTAGGTGCACCTAAGCGTGATGTCGAATCAAGGCTGGCAGATCTCGTGGCCAATCAGAACAAGCCAGGTTGATGCCGTAAATCTCCAATAACGAAGAATGAGAATCGAAGGCACAGTCACTCACTCCAGTTCAGTGAGGGGTGAGCCAAGGTCTTAAGTCCAAGAGCCAATTTTAGTTACCAAGGGAGAAGTTTGGAGTAATCGACCAGTCACAACAGTATCGTGTCAGTGCTGATACAGTTGCAGAACAAGTTCAGCATGAAATACTCTCGCCTCCAAGGGTTCAACTGATAGCGTTGCCTTGTCA